CGCTTGGCCGCTGCCTTGGGCCTGCCCTGGGCCATGTCGCCGCGGCGTTTCCGGGTTCCCGCCCTGCGCGGGGCACGCCGGGATACAACGGGGCGGGGCGCGGGGCACGCCGGGATACAGCGACACGGCGGACCGCAAAGCATGCCGGGACAGAGCGAGGCGGAAGCGGTTTCCCCCGATCGAAGGCCTTTACTGACCCCCGCGCCCCTGCGCTCCGCCAGCGCCTGCCGCAGCTCCGCCGGGGCGAAGACCCCCCACTCGGTGACGATGCCGCCCGTGATGAGGTCATGGGGGGTGACGTCGAAGGCCGGGTTCCACACGTCGATACCTGGAGATTGGGGAGGGGGAGGAAGAAAGTCGGACAGGCCCTGCCGCGCACCCCCCCAGCAGGGATGGGACCCCCCCCCCCGCCCTATATAGTGCCTATTCGCCCTATACGGGACCCTCTGCCCTATATGGACCCCCCCCATGTTATATAGGGTCCCTCCACCCCTTATAGGACCCCCCACTCCATATGGGAGCCCCCTGCCCTATACAAGACCCACCCACCCTATATGGGACCCCTTGCCCTATATGGGACCTCCCTGGGCCTGTGAGCACCCTGGGGGGTGGAGGGACATCCCCACCCCATATAGGACACTCCTGTCTTATATAGGACCCCCCCTCCCCATATGGGAAGCACTATGTTATATAGGACTGACCTACCCACCCCGTATGGGATCTCCCTGCCCCATATGGGCCTCTGTGTCTTATATGGGACCCTCCTGGGCCTGTGAGCACCCTGGGGGGCACAGGGACACCCCCAGCCCACAGGGGACACCCCTGCCCTGTATGGGGGACCCCTGCTGGAGCCACCAGCACCCCGGTGGCATGGGGACCCTGGGGTCACCCCGGATCCCCCCCCGGACCCGCTACTGCCTTCAGGGCTGGGGGGGGGGGAACGGGGACAGACACAACACCCACCCTGGGGGGCCAGGCACAGGCCCTGGAAGTGGGTGAGCTCCCGGCCCGGCCGCTCCTCGATGGGGATGTCGGCACCACTGGGCAGGGCCGGGTCGCAGGACGAGGTGGGGGCCGCCACATAGAAGGGGATGCCGTGGTGCCACGCCGCCACCGCCAGCTGGTAGGTGCCGATCTTGTTGGCTGTGTCCCCGTTGGCGGCCACCCGGTCGGCTCCCACCACCACGGCTGGGGACAGCGCGAGAGTCAGCGGGTCCCCAGCCCCCCCCCAGGCCCCG